AAAAAAAAAAAAAAAAAAAAAACCTTCAAAAGACACCAATTAAGTACAAACATTAAACCAGACTGGGGAAAAATATTTATAAAACATATCTGATTACAGGACTTAATCTAGAATATGTAAAGAATTCTTTCAATTCACTAATAAGACAAACACAACTTTAAAAAGAGATATTTGAAACTAAGTTGAAAACATCATAATACTGTATCTAGTGGTGTGCTGGGGGATGTTTCCCAGTTACCTCCCCCCGAAAAGGGCTCTGGCTTTTAGTTTTGCCTATATCCATGGTATTAAATATTCCTATCATCACCAATATCATGATACCTATATAATATTGCTGAACGTCGAGTTAGGAAAAGATGGGCAGTAGCACACCATTATATAGTATTTCCACCATATAGATATAATACACATAAATAATCAAGAGCATAATTAGGAAATGATGAATTTTAAATATTATATTTGTGATCTCTACAGCAGGCATTAATTCATTATTCTAAAAATTGATAAATAGAAGAAGCAATTATCCGGCTCACTTGTATAGATTCTATCTCAGAGTAACCAAAGAGTTGAAAGGAAAAGTTCTTAATAAAGTAATTCTAGCCTATAAAGGAATGCCAGAACAACAACAAAAATCAGTTTTGTAATCCTTAAGGAAAAGTTCAAAACAGTCATCATCAATAGATGCTAAAATCATTAAGTTAAATAAAAGGTTGACAGGAAACTATATTAAGATCAGCCTGAATCTGCTAATCAATCTTCGCTCATTAAAAATAAGAAATTCAGGTATTATGTGCCTGGTATGATTTAAAATATAAGAACAAAGCATTGGTATTCCTGATATGGAACCTGGGGGCAATTACACCTATAGAACTATTTACTCAAGCTATCTATCACTTTACAGAAAATACGTAGACTGAGAAAAAGTCAGAGGACTGCACAAGGGGGTGAGGGTGGGTGGGGGAAATAGCCCATTTCAGAATGTAGGTCATTTTACAGGACAAGTAACAGGTTTCTCCAACAAATTAATGGCATTAAAAACAAAAGTGAGGAGGGTGTTATAGAAAAAAGGGATGCAACAATCAAAGAAATCTGGATACTGATTCAATCTGTAAAAAGATTTGAGACAACTGGAAAAACCTGGATATGGACTGGATATTAGTGCCAATTCTCTCAAATGTAATAGTGACATAGTGGCTATGTTTGGAAACATGTTCTTAGTAAATAATGCATGAGAAGGATATGGGTAAAATGTGATAATTTTAAGATTCTGACAAAAAAAGAATAGCAATGAAACAAGATTGGCTAAATGGTGTGAACTATTGCAGATAAGTGAATTATACATAGGGGTATATTATACTATTCTCTCTACTTATGTGTATGTTTCAAAGTTTCCATGAAAATAAAGGCACAAAAGGTATTTACCAATGAGATCACTTCGATCTAACAACAACTCTAGATCTTCATCACTAATGACCTTCTCTCTTGATCCTTTCACTTCCCTATAATAGAAAGCAAAAATTCAGATCTATGAGATAAATCAAAACAATGAGTTACATTTTTCTAAAATTAAAAAACAACACAACTCACCTCTCATAATCTCTAGATTTTAATAATTCCATTAATTCCTTAGGGTCTATGAAGCTCTTAGATGGATTTAATCCAGATCGACCGCCTTTGAAATGATCTAGAAAACAATGATCAAGAAATTAAAAACATTAAAAATTGTTTTTAAAACCAAAATACGTTACAAAGCAATCAGAACTACTTATATTGAAAAGGATATAAAACCAAATGTTGGTAAAGAAGAAAAGCAACTAAAATTCTCAGGAAAAGTTTGGTAGTTTCCTGTAGGTAAACATACACCTATCCTAAGATCCAGAACAAATAAATGGGTTTGTCCACAAATACCCATACAAGAGCTTATTCATAAGAATCAAAATCTGGAAATAATTCAAAACATCAATCAACAGAAGAATGGATAGACAAACTATTCAGCTATTATTTAAAAAACAAAAGAAAAAAACACCAAACTTCTAATACAGATGATTTACTACATGAGTAGACATGTCAAAATGCATCACTGTATACTTAAAATCTGTAAGTATATTATACCTCAATAAAACACTGTCAATATTTTAAAAATTCCTTTCAAATTGTTTAAAATTTTAATCTCTCAAAATAATGAAAATAGAACTTAGAAAAATAAAACGATAAGCTTTACTTAATTTAAACTATATTCAATAAACAAAATAAATTTCTACTAAATTCCTAAAACAGCACAGGTGAAAATTTTTTAATTTGCACAAAATCTTGACAGAATAAAGCTCCTCTTTTATCCAATACATATTCTAGCTACAATCTAAATTTTCCATCAAGTAAAATTAAAGGTGCCCAAAACCTAATCCACATTTCCCTCAAAATCAGACACAATGAAGTACAGCAGGTTCTTAAATAGTTTTGTTTTAATGTTGATGAGATGCCATAGAAACTTAACGTCTGTTTACATTAAGTAACTATGGTAAAACTGGTTTTGTCATATGTCATTTTACTTCAAGTCACAGAACCTATCAACATTAAGTGAGGACTTACTGTATTTGCAAGTAGGAAAGTAGCATTAGAAAAAATTGATAGTAATTTTCAACATTATGATGATGTTCCCATTTCTCTAGGCTTCACAACTAACAGATGATTTTCTACTTTTCTTACGGTAGCCATCAAGTCATTTATCCAAATATAATTTTATACTGAATAAAAAAAACTTCTCCAAGGAATCTCAAAGGTACAGAACATAAAACACCAATGCCTTACCCATTTCATTTTCCCTACTCCTCAGAACCTTTCCCAGATTAAAAAACACTGTATTTTATAAAATGCTATGATCAAAAGTATGGAAAGGGCACTCTGGAGTCAAATATTTTTCGAACTAGTGGTTCAACAAAGTAAAATGGATTTTTTTTATAGCACTACTTCAATAATCTTTTAACATCTTAGGATTTAACATACTGAACTTGCAAGAAGAGGCTTGGAAGTTTTCTTAATTCTTTTCACAGGCAAATCTCTTACCAAGATAAGCATCAACATCACTTCAAATCCCTGAGACATTTCAGACAGACACTTTGAAATTATCCTTTTGTTCCTCATCTAGAAACTCACTGTTTTCCTTTTATGCCTATGGTCACCAACTTAGGTCTTTACAGCTCCAAATTTCCCACTGCCTATTCAATAAATCCTGCACTAATCAAGCCTCATTAATTTCTTCTACAAAGAAAATAATAAAAATCCACAATACACAACTGAAGGAAAAAATACTAGAAAGTGGTATTTACTTTTATGGATGATCAACTTTTCCAGTTTTCTTTTAGCAGCTGCTCTTTCCACAATTTTCTGATCAATAGTGTTTGCTGTAACAAGACGATATACAACAACTGGCTTTGTCTGACCAATTCTATGACATCTATCCTGGGCCTGAAGATCAGACTGGGGGTTCTTAAAGTAAAAAAAGAAAAATAACATTGAACAACATAAGATTAGTATTTTAAACTTATACTATGTGTGGGTAAAGTCAACATGCATGATCTAAGTGAAAACTTTTAAATAGTGTCTTAACTCAATTTAAACTTCTAGAATGGCTTCATTGATAGAGGATGTTCAAGTCTTAACACACAGGACACCTGATAATTTTTACTTAAAATGGATATACCTTTTCAAAGTAGATAAATAAAATTGCAAAGCATGCAATGAAAGATTAACAATTCAGAATGTAATAATCAGCATATTATACTTGCAACTTACCCAATCACTATCATAAATGATAACTGTATCTGCTGCAGTCAAATTGATGCCCAGGCCACCAGCTCGTGTACTCACTAAGAAGATAAACACATCTGGATCTGTGTTGAAGTTGTGCATCTAAAAGCAAAAAAAGATGTGAGCACAGCAATTGACAAACCAACTTCCTGTCTGGAAGGACAGGGTGCCGCATGTGGAGCAGCCATCTTACAACCATGGGTTTACCAGGAAAGGAAGGCGGGGAGTCAGTGGTGGGCCAAGGTTTATATATATAACCTAACACTCTTCAAACTGGGTATGAGTTCTTCAGCATCCACAGGACTTTTGATGTGAGGTAAAATAAATACTGAAAACCCCAGAATCCATAAAAGTTGAAAAAGGCCAATTTTCTGAAAAGATATAAAATTGCCAAAGATGTACCCCGCACAATACAAAAACTCATAGGCATGCCTATTTCCCAGGTTTTGGCAAAAAACTAGGGGACCTAAGACACACTGTATCAATTTTACCTTCAGAGGAGCTTGAGACTGAACAGCTCAGACCAGACACACAGGTGCTCCACGCCTACCTGACTGACTCTCAATAAAAACCCTGGCCAAAAAGTCTAAGCCATCCTCCCTCAAAAAATAGTGATAAACCAAGAAAGTGGCTGGCTAGGAGATGGGATAGGCAGAAAATGTGGGTTACTCTGAGGGAGCATGGGGCAATTTTTTGAGCTGATGGGTAACGTTCTATATCTTGACAGTTTAGGTCACACTCATCAAAACTCAGCAGCAAATAGCCTGGCTAGGCATGGCTCAGTGGTCAAGCATCGACCTAGGATCCAGGAGATGATGATCTGATTCCCAGTCAGGGCACAGGCCTGGGTTGTGGGCTTGATCCCCAGTCAGGGGCGTGCAGGAGGCAGCCAATCAGTGAAAACTCTCTCATCATTGATGTTTCTCTCTCTCTCCCTTCCTCTCTCTGAAATCAACAATTAAAAAACAAAAGCAAAACCCAGCAAATATAGCCTTTATTTTATTTCCTTCAGGATATGTACATATTACCCCAAAAGACAAAATATTCTTAAGTAATTAGAAAGAAGGGAGTATCATCTATAGTTTATTTTGAAATACACCCAAAGAAGGTGGAATGTTAAATGGACAGAGTAATAGACTGATGCTGTATCACAGCTATGCGATAAAAAATAGTAAAATGTTAGATGGGAAGGAAAGAGCCAAAACGGAGAAAAAATTTTGTTATCCTCTAATAGTTACAATAGTGTTTAAGAAGGGTATTAACAAAAGATATACTATATACTTTGAGAAACATTAAGACTAAAGGGTTTTTGGTCTTTGGTATCTATCAATTTGTGGGTCTATTTTGAATATTACGTCAGATACAAGATAAGAGTTATAAAAAAGAACTGGGTATGTATGACATAAAAAGTCTTACATTTCTCTCTCTCTCTGAATAAGACATGGATCCATCAAGTCTACTAAAGTTGAAATCTCTAAAGTGGCAGTAATCGATCAAAATGTCCAACATCCTTGTCATTTGTGAAAAAAGCAGCACCTGAAATTTAAACATATCTTAGTATCTATATTGATCAATAAACAATAATTAAATAATAAAAAAAAACAACCAAAGTACCACCTTGTGACCTCTGGTTTTTAGTTCTGGAAGCATTCGATCCAAAATTAAGAATTTCCCAGAATTTGTTACCAATTCTTCATCAACCTTAAAAGAGGACAAAGAAGAAAAAAAAGTAGTCATAATAATTACTAATAATTTGGCTTTGTCAAAATAAAAGAAAGGTGAACAGTTCAATTTTCAACAACAAATCGCTATACAACTTTAAAAATTTTTTAATTTGATCTTGTTATTTGCGTATTTTATCAGGAGATAATTATTTCTCTAGGAAAGACATGATCTAGAACCCATGATTTTACAAAAGCAAAATTCAGCTGAAGTATAACCTCAATCTATCCTCCCACTCCTTTCCCAAAGGCTCTGTATAAGAGAGTAAGGTCAAACTTACTGCATATGTGCTGAGGTCTATTCTTTATAACTGATTATATTTTCAAGAAAATATGTATGAAAATCACTGCCAGAACTCTCAGTAGAAATTAAAGAAAACACAGGAGCTTATAAACAACCTAGTACTGAAGAGTAAGGAATTATTCACCTTCAGGTTAATATCAATTCCTCCTCAGATTATCTTCCTCCTTACCTGAATGAAAAACTGTAAAGCAAGGGCTCTCATATATGGGAAATTTTGCCCATCATTCCTAGGGTGTATTTGGCAGTGTCTGGAGGCATTTTAGGTTGTCACAACTGGGGACGGAATACTGTTGGCATCTAGTGGGCTAGAGGTTAGGGATGCTGCTAAATGGCCTAAAGACCACAGGACAGCATCACCTAAACAAAGAAATACACTGGTCCAAAATGTCAGATTTCCAGGGGTGAGAAACACTGCTATGAAACTAAGTACTGAAAATTACTTAGAACTGATTTCCTTTAACACTATTATGCTATTTTCCCATCAACTGCCGAAGAAAGCAATTTCATTTAATCTGAAAGTTTGCAAACTTAGTACCAACTTTTTGGTTTTCTCCTGTGGCTCTTGGTTGAGATGTAAATGAGCAGCCAGATTGGTTTTGACAAGCTAAATGCCAACTAGAAGTACTACTGAAAAGGTGGCAACTAAAGGTGTCTCTAAAATAGCAAGTGAAACAGTGGAAATCAGTTGTTACTAAAAAAATGTATTTCTAATTTTTCCGATATGGAAAATGACACTTTCCCCAACATAAAAAAGGCACAGAAATAAAAACAGTGCATTATTAAGTGGTATTTACCTTAAACTCTTGTGTTACAGGGTCTATAGGGTATTCAATCAAATATGGATGATTACAGCATTTACGAAGTAGCATCATTATATTCTGTAGCTTCAAATCAACTTCAGATTCTACAGGAATATTCACTTCCACAACAGCTCTAGCAAAAATATATAATCCGTGAATACAAGAAATATGAAAAAATACCACAGCTTAAAGGATACTTTATTTTTAAACTCACACCTTTCTCGGTCTAGCTCTGGCTGTATCTGACTGATCAATTTTTCCAGTTCATTAGGGGAATCATCTACTTCGCTGTAATTTATTAACTTTCTGGTTCGCCGTTTTGGTCGTCCAGTGGAACTTAACTGAACTGTTTCTTTCTAAAAAAAGAAATGAAAGAAATATGTGTTTAAAAAGTACACCCTTAAATTCTAAATATATAGCTAAAAAGCCAGATCTTCCCTTTAATTATAATGAAAATGGGAGAACAGAGTCATTGTAATACAAACGAAAAAATGCATAACCATAAGTATTTTGAGAAAAAATTCATAGGCATACAGTAAAAAACCTGTACATTTAAGCAAAATTTAAAGGTCTCCTAATCTTCAGTTACAAGCACATTCCACTTCAATTTCTTATAATATTGTAGGTGACTACATAAGGTATATTTTTCAAATAGAGTATTCTATTACATTTTTTGGCTGTCAGTTAACATTCTATAAAGGGATTGTTTTTTGGGACTGATCTAGTCGGCAGGCCCTTAGCATACCGTGTGTCTGTTCAAGTCAAAATTCTTAACTAGCATTCCAGATGAGTAGAAAGCAATTAATGTATGAGCCATCACTGAAATTTTAGTAGGAACATAGCATTACTGGCCTTATGCCTTTGACTCCAGTTAGAAATTCACCCTCATTAAGTCCTGAAAACAGGTGATGAGCCACAAGACTGAAATCAACCAAGAATTTTCTATGCCAGCTGTTATTTATAGCATATTTCAAATCTACACTCTACCTCACTGGATCCAAACATGTTCGCAATTGTACGGTTCACAATGGCTGTATAAAAGATCTCTTGTTTCTTTGAAAGTGGTGCATAAACGACTACTTCTCGTTTAGGAGGAACCTCAAGAGCAACATCAGACTTTAGTCTTCTCAGTAAGAAAGGTGTAAGAATCTAAAATTTAAACATGAATAAACATATGTGAATATTGCACATCCCTATGTTTTAAGAAATATTCTCCCAACAGGTCCCTTTTCTTTCTCTTTCCTTCTAATATAAATATTATCAAGTCTCAAAAGGTAAGATAAAATATCTCCCTGAAATTTTCCTAGACAAGATCACTACACCGCAAATTCGTAGTATTTATCCATTTACATTTTATAATTCATCAATTTTTCTAATATATATTGAATATTTTTAAAAGCCAAAATAAGGTGATATCTGTACTTCTTAGAGTAAGTTACAGTCCACAGCTTTTAAAGCTAAGGTTTTGGATTAGTAGAAAACCAAGGAGTCAACCAATTAACCAGCCCAGAGATGTGGACATGAAAACCTCCTATAAAGTCTAAAACTTCAAGCTTAGAATTACTTTCATTCATTAGCTGTGTGATGACAAATGATTTTCACATTTATAAAACAATAAAGAAGCAACAGATAATGATACATTAGACTGCTTAGGTCTTTAAAAGAAATACCCCAGAGGTAGAGAGCTAAGAAGAGAGAGAGTTTACAAGAGAAAAGAGAACATGACCAATAGTTTAAAGGAAATTATCCAGAAAAAAGATTTGGTAGGATGAGTATGATTTGGGATATTTTTACTTTCCATTTCTATACTGTTTCAAATTTTTATCACAAATATGTATAAACTTTAAAGTAAAACAAATTATCAGGATTTTTGAATAAAATTGTCAAAACACAATTAAGAAGCTTTTCAGGCCCACATATGAAAATAACTAGGAGACCTTTGAAAAATTATGCTTGTCTGAAGTAAAGGTAGGTGGAATGGGTGGAGACTGTGGGTAACTAATTAATGGATCATTCCAAGAAGTAAATTACGCAAAAATTACTTTAAAAACATTGCATAAAAACCACTCAATTTCACTTTTTGAGTGACAAACATATCAGTAACCACTAAGGGTCAAATGAATATACATGAGAAGGTCAAAATTTCAAAAAGCACTTGAGTTTTGCTGCAAAGTCATGTTGATCTCTGGGGTGGGGGAGTATGTTAAATTTGAGAGCACCCTAATTTTCCAAAATCTACTACAATGAGTTGAACAGTTGATCTTTAGGGTTCCCTTTTTATTTTATTCTGAGTCTACAGTAAGCAAAATAAGAAAAAAGTCTAAACCTGGTGCAGCATATGCAATACATTCTGTTCTCTTTCTTTAGCAATAATATCTTCAGCAGTTTCAGAAAGACTAGTGATATCAAACCAAGATTCAAAGCTGTAAGAGAAATGATCAAAGTTAAGCTATCACATAAATTATATTAACATGATGTGTTTACACTTTTAATTTTATTATGAATCTGACTCTCAAAGAAGACACCCCCCCACCCTCGATTTATACAGCAACATAATCTTACAATAGTGTAAGAGCCAAATAAACATTAAAGGAAATTTTTTCTTTTTAAAATGCAGACTCCACACCAAGCACCTCTCTTGGCTGTGTCTGGGGTCTTGAATACTTGACCACCCTATGTCCACCTGCAAACGGACCGTGAGAGCTTGTTTGGTGGGTCTAACTAACAGGGGAGCACAGCCACTGCTCCAGCCTGGGCTGAAAGCAAAATGCAGCTTCAGGAGGGATGCACGTGGAATGGTGAGGGACAAAGGGGACACCCGCCGAGCCTACTAGATGAATCAACCCTGGTGATCAATGGGGTGACAGATGTCCCAGCCAGATCGCCCTCACATCCTAAGGTACATATTTTCTGAAACATTTTAATGAAGTAATAGAAATGAAAACTATCTTTGAAACCTAAGGCAGTATGATGTCTCTTTAGATATAAATATGACCTGCTGCAACCAATGTTTTTAAAATTCAACATATACATCCCTTAATAATAACTATTACATAGCCTTAGTTCTTCACAGTGTAAGAAAAACTATTAAAATGAGCAAATAAATACAGGCATGCCTTATAGTCTATACTAAATAACACAATATTGCCAGGTAAATCAAATTGGGTAAAACGCTAATACTATTTAGGAAGTAATCAGAACTGCTGTTTCCAACCTTTGAGCATCTGAAGCATGTTTTATAAATTCAGATTCCTACCTTGATGTTTTAACTCAGTAGGAATGCGTAGGACCTGGAAATATTGTCTTTAATAAATGTTCCATACTAACAATAAGACAGCCAGACAATATCAGGAAATCAGAGGTGAAAAATGTATTCTCAAAATAAAATATTCAACGTTATTTTCCTATATTAACTTTCTTCCTTCACTGATGCCAAAATAAATCATTTATTTTGCCCTCCTGATTTTGGTATTTCCATCTTAATTATTTTTAACTTGTTAAGATTATTTTCTCATTCATTCTAGCATACTAATTTTAGTTTTTGGCTTTCATAATATAAGATTCAACCTGTTTATAGAATAAAAAGCACTAGGTTGAAACTGGGAGACCCTGGTTTTATTTTTGGCTCTGGCATTAACACTTTACTTTTAATAAATTTACATTGGGATTTTCTTATATGTGAGATAGGGGATATATTTAACCTCTATCCCCTGAATTGTTTTGTGAGGATAAAATGAGTAAAAATCATCTGAATGTGTTTCACAAAGTTAACAAAATTAAGGGCCCTATAAAAATATTTTAACAAAACATTTTTATTGTTCTCAATGCAACAGTTTTCCTTTAACCAAGGCAAATAAACCTATTACCTTAATTCAGCTATCTAGAAGCAAGGAATTAATTTTAACTAAGAACAAAGAATTTGAGGTTAAGGAAACAGAAAAGTTCAAGTAACTGGCTCACCTACCTTTTCAAGTCATCAAATACATCTGGCAACAAAAAGTTTAGCAATGACCAAAGTTCAGATAAATTGTTTTGCAAGGGAGTTCCAGTCAAAAGAAGTTTGTTATCTGCATTGAATCGTTTTAACTCCCTGATTAGACGGCACTTCATGTTCTTAATCCTGTGTCCTTCATCTACTATTAAGTATTTCCAATAGCAATGCTGAAAAAGGAATTAAGGGAATAATTTTAAATGATGCCTCACAACTTTTCCTAAAAACAATTCTAAAAATAAAACCTCTTCATTAGAGGTGAACATAAAATTTTATCAAATGGCATTTCTGTGTCTTTTAAGATAATGCATTTTCCTTTGATCTAATAAAAAGATAAATTTCCTAAACTAATGCATACTTGTGTTCCTGAAACAGACCTCACTTGGCCATGAACTAATAATTAAAGTCTACCTGCTGGTATGTATTTAAGATTTCTCCATTCACATTCTTTAGTCAAAGCAGTCTGCAATTTTCCACTCTAATGCATTGGCAAATTTTGATTGTTATACCAGATAACTAAAAAAGAACAGAAAGCTTTTCTTAGTGTCTTATGCTCTGAAAAATTAGATAACATTAGAATTTTCTTTTTGAGGCCTATACCTGAGATTGATTTTCATTATAAACTGATGTTCCTAAGTTTTCAGTTATTGGTTTACTTAGGTTTCCCCTTCCTTCTACAGCCAAGTTTAATTTGTGTCTGCAAAAAGCCATCCATTTAGTTTTATTACATTGTCATGAAAATTGTTTTCATTTCTCATTTTTAATATCTGTGTTTTCTTTTATCTTGACCAGGCAAACTTAAAGTTCATCTATTTTATTGTGTAAAAACAAAGAAATATGCAATATTTCTTGGAAATATAAAAACCAAACTGGCAAGGATATCCTTGGATAAAAGATTGGCAAATTAGGGGAAGAGTATGAAATGAGGCGTCTTTCCTATTTTACTTTATACATTTACAGCAGAATGAAAAAATAATTTTTTATAATATCATTATGACTTTAATAAAATAACCTGGGACTTCTATTTCTGTTGATATGGCAAACCAGATAACGTGAAAAATTTCTCACCATAAGCCATCTACCTTAAAAAGCCAATCAAAATATAAAACATCTTATAAATAGGCAAAAAGAAAAAGAAAACCCAATACAACGGAAATGATGAGAAATTTGAAAAATTACTGAACTCATACACTTCTGCTACTACTCAGGAATAGAAGCCCTGCACCCCCAATACCATCAACTCCTTAGACTATAAATAACATATGCTCAAGGAAAGAGAAAATTACAATTCTAGTATTTGGCAAATAAAATTGACAAGGAAGCTTAACTGTTTCAATACAGACTGTGTAGAAAGAGAGAAAAAGAATTAGAAAGGTCTTCATGTTCTATTGTTTACTTTAAAATAGGAGTTTCACCCGGCCGGGTGTGGCTCAGTGGTTGAGCATTGACCTAGGATCCAGATAGGGATTCGATTCCCAGTCAGGGCACATGCACGGGTTGCAGGCTAGGCAGCCGATCAATGACTCATCATTGATGTTTCTATCTCTCTCCCCCTCCTTTCCTCTCTCTGAAATCAATAAAGATATGTTTAAAAAAAATAATAAAAAAATAGGAGTTTTAAGAAAGAATGTATGGTATAACGTATAGGTATGTATAAGTCATACCTATATGTTAACAACAGTTATTTAATAAAGGAGAAGTAATTCTCAGGTAGAATTACAAATGCCTTTAGTCTTTCTGTTTCCTACTTTTTCTAAAAGCAGTATATATACTGTTTTTAGAATATATACTTTTACTGTGAAAAACTAACATAACTGCAAGTAATACTCCAAAATTCCACTAGCACATAGGTAATATCTGATATAAAGGTGAGAGAAAGAAAAAACAAAGCAGTAAAGAACTATATGTGAAACAGATGGAGAAAAATGTTCAAAACACCAAAAATGAATTGATTAGACAATGAGAGAAGGTCAATTTTCCTACTGTTTTAACTTAGGCACTTAAAAAAAAAAAAGGAGCACCCAGTAAGGCATGGCTCAGCAGTTGAGTATCGACCTAGGATCCAAGAGATTGCGGTTCGATTCCCAGTCAGGGCACATGTCCGGGTTGCGGGCTCAATCCCCCGTCAGGGGCATGCAGGAGGCAGCTGATCAATGATAATTCTCTCATCATTGATGTTTCTCTCTCTCCCTTCCTTTCTCTGAAATCAATAAAGATATATTTAAAATAAAAAAATTTTTAAAAAGGAGCTATAACATGAAAACAGATATGAAAATGTTATGCTCTAGATTTATGTCTAAAAGGTGTCTTCGAAGAGCCTATTCTTTTTCTTTTTGTCAATTTATTGATGAGAAAAACATCAAATTGTTCTTCCACTTATTTATGCATACATTATTTGATTCTTTTATGTGCCCTGTCCGGGGATTGAACGTGCAATCTTGGTTTATTGGGAAGATGCTCTAACAAACTAAGCATCCCAGCCAGGGCCGTATAGCCTATTCTTATTTGATTAAAATGAAATAGATAAGTTCTACCTATTTAAAGTGCATGTCAGAGACATATCTAATACATTCACAGATTAGGTCTATATCTGGCAGATTCTAATACACTGAAAATGACACTATGGCTATATTAAAGTGCCATAGGTTTTAGTTTTCTTTAGAGGCTACAACCTTCATCTCATCTTTCTGTTAAACAGTCCCTTCAGTTTCTAAGGGACTGTGCACAGTACAATCTATTACTTCCATCAGGAAAGAAAAAAAAATATTACTGGGTGATGAGAAAGTGTTATAAAAATGCGATTTATGGGTTACAAAAATCCAACGAAGTCCATTCACACCTGTAATGCATTCCGGTCTCTCATGGCTATTTCAAATGAAGTGATTACCACAGGATGAATCTGCAGTGTTCCTTTCCGTTGGTGAATCTTCCTTACCAATTTTCGACGTTCCTGCTGGGTCCCATGATACAACATAGTAGGAATCTAAAAGATTTTGTTATATCAAAACTTTAGAACAAAATCTGAATATAAAAATTTGGCAAATATAACATTCATTTCAGAGAGAAATAACTTAATCTTAGTCAATCAATTCTAATAAATTATTGGACTACTATCAGAGAATTAAAAAATCATAAGAACAAATCAAATGTAAGCCAAGGTAGGTTACAAAGCTACTTCTGAAATGTTTCTCATAAGGCAAAAATTTGGTATAGCAATAAATACATATGGAAAACACCGTAATAAGAATAAACAGAATTAAAGAATAAATTCTATCTAGGTCTGTGTGTCAGGTGAACCAAATTATCCAATATACTGAAAATCATCCAGAGATATTTTTGGCAACAAGTCCAAGATTACTAATACCTATTCTTTATAAACTTAAAGTAGGTATTGATCAGACTAAAAGGTAAGTTGAATAAGGGATAGTATTCATACAGAAATCAATATAATTATAGTAAGAGATGTATAATTTAATTCAGACAACAAAACAAACATTTGAAATGATATATACTTAACAAAAGGAAACATGTCTTACTTCCGGTGTAAATCTTTGGAATTCAGCTATCCAGTTAGGAAGCGTAGACAACGGGCCACAGACAAGAAAAGGTCCAGGTACTCCTCTCTGAATCATCAATGCAATTGTAGCAATGCACTGAACTGTCTTCCCCAATCCCATTTCATCTGCTAAAATGCCATTAATTCCATTTTCCCAAAGCATCTGGACAAAATAATATACACTGTATTTAAATTCTGATAAATGCCTATTGAATTAGCAATTGTTTGTTTGTTTTTACCCAAAAATAATTATGATGAGACGGACAGATTCACACTATAAATTATAATAACACTTGGAGGAAGGAGGTTATCAAAGTCATAAATGTGTTGGAAGCGCTGAATTAGATAATTTTCACTTTTAAAGATTTTTTTTAGAAAGGTTGAGGAAGAGAAACATTGACGTTAGATCAAAACATTGATTGGCTGCCTCCTGTATGCCCCCCCCACGGGGAACCAAATTGGCAACCTTTTAATACAGGGGATGACGCCCAACCAACTGAACCACACTGGCCAGGGCAAGATAATTTTCACTTTTAAAAATTTACTCTGGGTAAATAAATCAGAAAACAAGTATTTACACACAAATGTATTACATATAATAGTGAAACATGGAAGGAACGGCTCAAGTTGTGTTACATCACATTAATAGATTATTACACAGAAATGAACCACTATGTTGTATTAAAATTGAAATTCATTACCCTGAGCCATTCCATGCCTTCTACTTGGTACCAACGCATCACACCTCCTGTAAAGTGTTTTGGTTGCTGAAAGGGTACTGGCTGTCCATTATATTTCCGCACTGGGTCAAAGAAGAGTTTAGTATTTTGCCTAACTGTTTGCGACAATCTATCTTTAATTATACTATTTGAGTCTTTGTTTTTCTGAAGATCTTCTACACAGAGATTAGAAGAGGAGCTTTCTTCCTATAAAGAGAAAAGTTTAATTAGAAGTTTGATACATAATGCTGGTACCCTCTACTTATAAAAAATGTAACTGCTAATCAAAATTTACCCAGTGCTAAAATCATTAGGTATAAGAAATATAACCTTAAGTTGAATAAAACCCTAGAGAGAGTTACCTCCGTTCTCCCAAAAGTAAAGCCATTGGGGGGGCCCCAAAAGTACACCTTTGAAATGACTTTTATAATTGTACCTCCTTTCCAAATCTCTAATTCAGGGGTAGGGAATCTTTTTTCTGTCAAGGGCCACTGGGATATTTATAACATCATTTGAGGGCCATTCAAAATTATCAGCTTACAAATGAGATATAAAAAAGCTCCTAGATTTACTGAAACTCAAGACCCACCTGCAGTTGCCTTCGCAGGACCAACCAGACCAAATGATTTCGTGGGTGTTCCCCACCCCTGCTCTAATTGCTATGCAAGAATTTATTGAACTACTTTCTTAATAATTTCCTTCACCTACAACAGATATAATTGATAATGTTGCAAAAGAAAAGAAAAACAAATTTCCTTTCAAGGAACATAGAAACACTTATTTCAAAATAAGTAATTACCTTCATTGCAGGGAAAGGGACAAGGTAAGTAAAGTTTTAAAATTCACTACATCACACTCAAGAATGTAAATGTGTATCTGTTTGTGACACTCATAACCAATAGATTTTATTGGTTGACGAACTCCACAACTCCATTTTAAGAATGTGAAAATGAAAATTAAGCCAGTTGGTAGGAAAAGTCTTATAAATGATGTCACAACTAGACATTCAACTGGAAAAGCAAATGTGAACTTTTCATAAAGGCTAAGAATTAGGTTATCTGGTGAAAAAAAAGTATACTGGTAATTATAAGACAGTAGTAATCAGAGAAGCAAATATAACCCTTAAGTTTAATATTTATTTAAATCTCTTACCTCATTCTCCTTTTTATTTTTTTTAGCCACAGACAAAATTTCCTAGAAAATAAGCACAAAATAACAATGTATGTGGTTCATTCATGTATTTAACAGACATTTACTGTTCTGATTTTATGCCAGGAAATGGGGATAAGGCTCTCATGGTAATTAAAATAGGACTGAAACTGGAAGACCTCAGGCAAAATTAAACCTACAGGGTCTTATAAAATTCTTAATTAGTTAGCAACACATAAAGTGGGATATTTACTCCTGAATTTTCCATTTTTTTAAACTCTGAAGAGAGTAAGTCCAAATTCACACATGGCTAATAGTTCTGCACTACAGAGGTTGGCAAACTACACCCTGTAGACCAACTCCAGCTGGCAGCCTGTTTTTATAAATAAAGTTTAATTAGAACAAAGCCAGACTCTTATTTGTTTACAGTTTATGCCTTCTTTCAGCCAAATTCATGGTTGAGTAGTTACCTACAAAACTACTTAAAGCCAAAAACATTTACTATCTGGTCCTATACAGAAAAGTTTCCCAAACTCTGCTCTAGAAAAAAGTTGTGGCTACTCCTGTTACTCAAGAATCGACTCCCAAAAGTATTATAATCCCAACTCCAGCCCACTTTAAGCCTCTGTGGCTAAACATTTGCATTTGTAATCCTGAGCAAGAGGCAAAGACAAATAAATGAAAACTACAGAATAAAAGTGTTCTGATTTTGAAGTTCCTACTCGATGCTAAGGGTGTGGAGACAAGCAATACCCGAGTGCCACCTGGTGACTTAGGTAAAACAGTCCTTACCTTTCTTTACTGATTGATCTTATCCACTAGGGACAAAGTCTGCCCAGAGCAGATATGGCTACAAACATATGATGAATTACATTAACAACTGTGTGATTGGCTAAACATCAATAAATCTCATTAGTAGTGTTTTTCAACTGCAGGTTGAATGTGTTCTGTAATCAACTGAGTGGGTCCTGACCATTATTTTTATAATGGGGGTGGGGTTGGGAATGAGGAGGAATATTCCTAAAGACAAGAATTATGTGAAATTTAAAATTTTACACTTTATGAAGATCTAAAGAATTTGAATTTTTGAATTTCAGGGAAAAGAAAAGGTCTGTAGATAATAAAGTTAGAATTTTTTAAATGTAAGAATGTGATGCTTAAGTAGCATTTAAGGTTTGTCATAATTGAAGATGCTCTTTAATTAATTACTATTATGAGGTTGCAAGTGAGGATATACAAAAAGGATCCAGTTTTAGAAATGATTATGTGCTTTTAGATCCCTAATGGCCTTCAAGAAGGAAGAACAACAAAATTCTTAAGGTTTTGAGGTTTCAAGAAATTATAATAATTTCTCTTCAAGCCAAGCTCATGCTCCTTTAACAAACAGGAAGATACCATCTTCTTCCCTCAAAGAACTTAATGGTATCAAAAGCCAAGTAGATAACCATAATCCATTCAGCTTTAATGTAGTATAAAACCCACAATAAGTTTTTACTCAACATTGAACCTTATGTGCCCTTCCCCTTTTATTTTTACCTCTTTTGACATGACCTCTGAAATATTGTATGATTCATCTTCTCTTCCTCTTTTCTTTCTCATAACTATAAAAAACAATTTCCATTTTATTTTTGACAGCAATTAATGCAAAGATAGAATCACATGTTCTTAAAAACTGGAACAAGGAAATTTACCTGGATTCTCCTCACTTGCACCAATGGAACTTTTACCCTACAGAACAAGGATTTAGAATATTATTTTCCTAAGGACTGCTATGGTATTACATACTAAAAGTAAATATTCCTTGCAGTTGAACCACATCCACAACTCTTTACTATTATACTTACCAACATGTAACCTTTTACTGACTTCACTACTATAACTTATTTGTAACCATAACCCTGTACTTTTCCCCAAATACTCTACTATACTTATTTTTAAAACGTTTTAAACAAGAAAACTTTCAAAATTAAACATAAAGACATTTTATTTTGAAATTACCACATACATTTTCTATATGTTTATGCTGAAGACATTCAACTGTTATGGTACAGAAGGAGTACTCTTTTTCAGTAAAATTAAAAGTACAATGGAAAGAAATAAAAGAATACTGACTGAAAAAAATATTACTGGAAGAGAAGATAAGGGAAAGGAAGAAATGTTCAAAAACAGTTTGAAACTGAGAGTTGGAAAAGATCAAGAATAAGGTAGACAACATGTATGAGAAATGAAAATGACTGAAAAATAAGCTGAATTAAATAATGATATAAAAAGTTAGAGGATTGAAAATGAAAATATCAAAAGGAATTGGTGAGATGCAGTAGGCAGAATTTAATGGTTTGCATCTTTAGAACAAAGTGGGGAACCCCCCCCCACAAAATCCTGGTATAAAAACTTAGCTGGACAAAAGTAAAGGATGGATTAAATCAACCAGCTGAAGAATAGGGAGTAAACAGTTAAGCCAGTACAATTATCTTATAAGTACATTTTCTTTAAAAAGTCAAAATAAGTCCTTGAAATTAACAACTGAGTCAAATTAGGTAAGTTTTTGAAAACTACTTCTGTTGCAACATTATCAGCTATGTACATTATCACCACTAACCATGCTAAGGATCAAATAACTGGACTTAAAAAACACCCTATCTAGCCTGGCTGGCATGGCTCAGTGGTTGAGCAGTGACCTATGATCCAAGAGATTGAGGTTCCATTCCCAATCAGGGCACATTCCCGGGTTTCAGGTTCAATCCCCAGCAGGAGGCAGATGTTTCTATCTACCCCTCTCTCTGAAGTCAATAAAAACATATTATTTTAAATAAATAAAAAAATACCCTATCTATTTTGCCTATTGGCATTTTGATATTTCCTAATAAAAGCAGTTTAGTACAGGAGCTAAGTGTTGGGTCTGAAATTAATACTAGAATTATTATTTATTAGATATGTGATCTTCAGCAAGTTATCAATTCAACAGTTATGTTTTATAAAGTCACTGCAAATAAGGAATTGGTGAACACTAAACCACTGCCTCTAGGAGAAATACAAGTTTAGAGCCTTCCTGCAAGGCTCTGGTTACATTTTCATCAATTGATGAAATACATAACCTTGTTTAATGAGTGTTGCTATTTTATCTTCAACATACAAGTTGATTAACATTGAACTCAGGGCCAACAGCACGTAACTCCTGGAGTCACAACACAACCTTCTTGCATTAGAAACACCAGAAAGCACTGTGGCACAATGAGGCTAAGGGGACATTTTGAACTGCAAAATCAACAAAAATCACAGCATTAAATAGACCACAAAAAGAACACTTTTTACAGCATGACGGCTTAAATAAAGTAGATCACCGCTTTGTTTGACTTCAGCTGGGAACGTGTGTGTGGGGAGACTCAAAATTTTTGGCTGCTCTGCATGTGCACATGCACATGCTTGTGGGTATCCATAGAATCTGGGAATGAGGATGGACTCTTATCTCCTTGCATCAGCTTCTTTAAATGTAAAATGGGGACAATAACAGCACCTCTACAAAACAGCTGTTTTGAGAATTGAGAAAAAGCATGTGACTTAGAACAATACCTGATACATAACAAGTACTCAGTAAATGCTGCCTTCATTATTCTTTTCACTAGCACAACTGTTCTTCATACAGTTCCCATCACTATGGCATTAAACAGCCTCATGTTAAAGCATAATCTTCAAAAAGATCACATCTAAAATTCAGTATATCCCTAAATGTGTGTTCTGCCATCTGAGGTGTTATTAGGAGATGAGTGTCTGCTCTAATTTTGGTCAAATTTATGCACAAGCTACAAATTTAGATTACTGTTATGGCTACAGGTTGACGTGGTGAGGATGAAGGCATGAAGAAGAGTAATCATTACAGGCTGGCCACTTATAAAATGCCTTGCAGTATAAAACATTTGCAGAGTTTTCCCAGATAAGTAAAATTTTGCATACATAAGATATAGTCTACAGAATGATAAACTGAAGTGGTCATATTTTTTGAATTCTCCTTCCATATCTAAAATACTGAGAAACAGTTTTACATGTTCCTATGCAGTTTGTAACAAAGACAGATTAACAGATAAAGGTTAAAAGTAAATATATGATCAATAAAGTTAATAGAATACAAAAGAATTTCTTCAGTATTTAAGGTAACATATACAATACATTCTAGCTTACTGTATATTACCATAGTAACTTTGGAAGATTCCTTTTTTCTCTCTAATTTCTCTTTCTTCTTCTGCTCCTGTAAAATAATTCTTCTTAGTGTCACAAATAGAAATGCAAAGTATAAACACATCTCAAATAACTTATGTTCAGAATAAAGAACTTCTAAAAATACATAAAATTTTTTATAAAAAGAACTTGCACTTCAAGACTTCACGGACCAGGGTACTCCTCCCTTAAGCAACTAAAATCCAGATAAAATATATTACACAATGGTTTTCAGACAACATACAGCAAAGGACAGTGAACACTGACAGAATGCAAACAAATGAGGTGACTTTTCTGATCGCACAGCTTACTGCCTGAAGGCAATTTCCAAGAGCAAATAATGGAGAACCCAAACAGAGCTCAACAGTCTACCTGAGTTGAGGAGACAAGAGTGCTAAATTTAGAGCTGCTAGCACACCTAGGGTCAAGTAACAAAGAGAAGAGCTGCAGACAAAGAAAGCTCTGAAAATCAGTAGTCAAGTTTTTGCTGAGTGTTGATCAGTATACAAACAAACATAAGAAAACCAAGGCCACGAAAAGCCACTAGAAAGAAGCAGCTGGAACAATCCCCACATTGATGAGGGATTAGGAATAGTTCACATTCCTGTCAGCCAAAGTAAAAAGGCCTTCTAACACAGGATACCAAGATATGTTTTTCTATCTGTGTTTCATTTTACCATACAAAGGTTTAAAGGGGCTTCAGGCAAGGGGGAAAAACAAACAAACCTGCAAATGTAGCAAAAAAACTAGAACAAGGCAAAAGGGATCAGAAGTGCAAGGGCAGAGGTGTCAGGTAGCCAACTTTATTGAAAATTGTCAGGGAAGTCCTCACTGAGAAAACATTTAAGCCAAGACCTGAAGTGGCAGATATCTAGAAGAGGGTTCCACACAGAAAACAGCCAGTGCAAAGGCCCAAAGGCAGGAAACACACCTGGAACAAGGCCTGAGAGGTAAAGCATGGACCATCATTATCAGAAACAATGTAAGCTAGAGAGCAGTTAAACATCATTAAAGAACTGTGTAGGGAAGGAAGTCCCGAAGAAAAAGAAATTCTTTACCCAATAAAGTTATCTTTCAAAAATGAAATCAAATGAAGACTTTTCCAGACATATAAAAGCTCAAAGAACATATCACCAACAGAAAATGCAAATTAATCTATAAGAACAGAAAGCAGGACCAATGGCTATCTCGAGAAGAAGATAAGTAGAGAGGGAAGACAGGAAATAAGGGATGGGAGAAAATTAAAAAGGGGCAGGAATTCAGCCATGAAAAAGAATAAAAGTCTGCCATTTGTGACAACATAAATGGACCTTGAGGGCATTATGCTAAGTAAAATAAGTCAGGCAGAGAAAGACAAACACCATATACGATCTCGCTTATGCGTGTAATCTTAAAAACAAAACAAAACCCCCAAAACAAAAACCCCACAAGCTTATAGATACAAAGAACAGATTGGTAGTTGAGGGAGAGGAGGAAATGGATGAATAAGGAAAAAAGGTATAAATTTCCAGTTATAAAATAAGCCATGGAGATGTACTGTACAGTATGAAGGCCATAGTTAATAATCCTGTACTGCATATGTGAAAGTTACTAGAAGAGTAAATCTCAAAAAGAAGAAAATTTTGTTAACTATGTATGGTGATGGATGTTAACTAAACTTACTGTGGTGTTCATTTTGCAATATATAAAATATCGAATCATTCTGCTGAAACTAATGTCAATTATACCTCAATTAAAAGGGGGACAGGCAGGAATTTTTTGAGTTGATGATTATGTTCATTATCTTGATTGTGACTTCATAGGTATATACATACATATGTCAAAACTTAGAAAATTGTACATTTTAAATGTGCATTTCTGTGATTGTCAATTATCTCAATAAAGCAATTTAAAAAAAAAAAAGACTGAGCAACATAAAATTCACCATTTCTAACATCCAAAAAACATCATTAGACAGGACAAGTCAGTCAGGTGAATAGAAAATAAATGGTGGTATATTCATATAATGGAATGCTTCTCAGGAATAAAAAGGATTACCTACTAAGCAAACACAACATAAGCGAATCTCAAAAATACAGAGCTAAATAAAGAAGCAAGACACAAAGAGTGCTTACCACATGACTCCATTTATAGGAAATTCTAGAAAAAGGGATACTAATCTATGATGACAGAAAACAGGATCAGTGGTGGCCAGCATAGGGATTACTAAAAAAGAGAACTTGGGGGAATGATGGAAATGTTCTTTATCTTGATCGTGCTGATGGTTACCCAAGTCTATATACTGGTCAAAAGTCATCAAATTATAAAATTAAAACATGTGCCTTTTATTGTATGTAATTTCTGTCTCAATAAAGCTAGTTTAAAAAAATTTAAGCTATTAGCTGTAATCAATCACATACACATACCTCTAATTGTTGCTGTTCCATTTTAGTCAATAAAAATTTAGAGTAGATATTGCTTTTTTCAAGTAAATGTTGAAGTCTACGGTACCGAATGTCCACAGATTCTCTATCCCAAGACATGTGAGCCTATCCAAAGAGAAGATTTCCATAATTATTAGTTTTTAGACATACATTGCTTTTTTGCAGAAGGTGTAATGAAACTGGCTTAACAAATGCTCTGTAGGTTTAATATATTTCATGTAATTAATGAAAAAAATTTTATATTAAATTAGTTTACTAAATATACTTTATTTTCCAAACAAAAAACTAGAACAAATAGCTAAAAAAAAAATTATGATTCTTGGGTTCAACAAGCAATCTGGTAATACGCAGCTTGCATACCAAAATACTGAAAATTCAAACACCGGACATATAGTTACTGTCATCTACTTAGTTAAGGGTCCCCTTTTAAAATATTTGCAATTAAACTTAGACAGTAAATATTTAATTCAAGTTGAAGTTCAGTTTTTAAACAATCAAATGAAAAGAAAAATTATATATACCAGTTTTATTTCAAAGAACATTAGAATTAAAAAATGTCATTGGTGAGGGAGTAGAATACCTGCTTTCAGAATTTCAAAACTGTGTTAAAATATTTCAACATGTTAAATCTATTGATTTCTTACAACCTTTTCTCTTTCCTCCAGCAGTATTGTTCCCCAGAGTCCTCCCCTTCTATTTTAGCTTTCTTTTACTTTATCTTTCACCTCTGTACAATTTCCAATTACAAAGCTCTGCTTTATAACTTTTCAAGTTTCTGCATATTATTTTCAAACACCTTATGAGTGATTTCTAAGCATCTACAATAGCGACCTCACAATGATAAAAGTTTAATATTTTAAAAGAACAATAGCACAGGGCACAAGATGAAAGACATAAAGGCATCAAACAGTAGAGTTCAGTGGCCCACAGGCTTTTTCTGTAAAGGGCCAAAGCATGAATAGTTAAAAATGATTATCATATGGTTTGTACTGCAAATACTCAATTCTGCCTTTTTGCATAAGAGCAGTCAAATACAATATGTAAACAAATGAACATAATTGTGTTCCAATAAAACTACTGAATTGACAGGCACAGGTAAAATCCAGTTCATAACTTGCCAACCCAGTATAATCTAAATTCAAAGTAATGCATTAAGTGGGCTGAAATGAATCAATTGAGAGTTGACTTCATCTACCAAAACCAAATATCTGCAAATCCTATCAAGCATCAATTTCATTCACTAGACAAAGAGTGTGTTTGTGGGTGTGAAAGAAGGGCCTAGGTAGCATAATCTAATTAAATTTAATTTAGTGGTTGAAGCCTGACCTTATAAATCAGGCACCATTGTATACTGGCTTTATTTTATAGATCTCTCTAGCTTTTCTTTCAAAATAAATTTCTTTTCACCCAGCCGGGCGTGGCTCAGCGGTTGAGTGTCGACCTAGGATCCAGGAGATCAGGGTTCGATTCCCGGTCAGGGCACATGCCTGGGTTGTGGGCTGCAGCCAATCAGTGACTCTCTCATCATTGATGTTTCATTGATGTTTCTATCTCTCTCTCTCCCTTCCTCTCTGAAATCAATAAAGATATATTAAAAAAAATAAATTTCTTTTCTAATGCAAAAGCAATGACAGTAAGGCACCTAAAAATAAAAATAACTTAAGTAATACATGTACATTACAGAAAAAATATTTAATAATCACCCATAATCTTACCCATGAAATTAATTTGTTAATATCTTATCAAACTCTATTTTTACTTCTTTTATAACAGCCTTTCTTTTACTATTACCACTATACTACTGTGATTACCATAATAAATGAGGTGGGTATTATAAATGGTGAGATGAAATTACTTTATAAAAATAAATTCTCAAATTTTTAACTTTATAAATTTGTTTAAAATTTTAGTTAAAATATTCTGGGCTTAATTTACATATATTTGTTACCTTAAATTTAAAGCTTTAAGATGTCACCATGAGCAACAATTTACAATTAATGTAATTAGAATATTATACCAATGGTTAACCTTTAAACCCAGTCTTATGTATTTCAAAATGATTTTGTAGTCAATCTTATCTATCATTACTCTTTTTTGACTTAACAACTTTATTATGCTATTGCAAGGTAAACTGGAGCTCCATCTGTGGGAAGCACTGAATGCCTGGCAGGGAGCGTATCTAGATGACCAGAGTGAAAGTGTATGCCAACAGAGACCAAGGGCATCAATTCTCTCTGTCTACCCCAAGATCATTCCCAACACCAATCCCAGATTCTGGGTGTGGGAAGAGAGTTATATTTCAGTCTACACAATATAAACTATTTTCCTTTTACCTCTTCCAACTCTTACCTCTCCCCTCCCCCACTTCAGAAACATTAATGCTACTCTTAAGGATTTTAGACTAACAATGACTTCTTTTTAAAGGAAATGCAGGTGAAAAGTCAAAGAAAATAAGTGTAGCTCACAAATGTTAAAGTCATTGTCCAGGCTCTTCACAAACCTTAAAATCTCCTAAGGCAAAGTAAATGCTTCCCATTAAGACTTAAGCTGGCTCTTCCTCTCTTAAGTACATACTTCAAAATATATGCCCATAAATACTGTATTCTTGGAAAAGGAAAGAATTTTTCCTTTTGTATAATGAGCTTTTGGCCTTCAGACTTGTAGGTAGAGACTCATTCTTAGAACTTTCTCCATAATAACCCAGGAAGTAATTTATGAATGTCAAGTGCAAAAATTAATCAAGTTCTTTTAATACTTACATAAAAGTCAATGTAATAACAAGGGACCACAACAGGTTTTCAGCAAATAACACTCTTTTATTAGAAGGATTAAAAAGAGCTATATGCTTTATTCATGGAAGGACTAAAAGTGGATTAAAACTTGCTATTTTAATTGCCTGTTAAAAAAACAAACAAAAACTAGCTGTACCATACCTATCCCTCAACAAAAACAATTCCAAAAAATTTTAGGACTAATTGGAAAAAGTATGTTCAAAAGCTTAAAAATTTCACTGAAAGTAGAAGTCATTTGGATTCCTAGTTTCATCAGTTATGGTACTATAAATTTTGACAACCTTTTTCCAATGTGAAAATGTTTCTTCCCTCAAACTGTGTATTCTGGGAAGGTATTTTGATGGTACCTCACTTCTTTCTTCACATGGTATTTCCTTACCCAACAACCTTCATGGGTTATAAAACTGAAGATACACTACACAAAAATGAAGGCTCTTACAACCTCTGAAGTTGATACAATTCCAGACACTTGTCCCAGGGTTCCTCCTTTAAAATTCACCTGGTAAGTATATTTATTTTATTTATGTAATTTTATATATGTAATATATTACAAAATATTCTTTTACCAGACTTAGCAATTCAATAAATATTTAGTGACTGCTAGGTGCAGAGCCTACAAAAACAAAAGTTAAGTGATGTTCCCTCAATAAACAAAGTGAGAGTCAAGTAAGTAATGTGCAATAAACAAAGTACTATAGAAATTCAGAGAATGAGGAAAGGTGGTACAAGGTTAACCTCCCAATTCTATTAAAACCTGTTAACATATTACCTTAACTGATTATTATGATCAACTATGGACGATCACTAATAGTAGAACCTACATTACTGGCATCAACATACAGTATGGTGGTTAAAAAGTGTGACTTCTGGAACCTCACTGGCTACATTACAATCTTGACACTGCCATTTACTAGCTGTAGGGACCCAGGCAACTTCTAAGTGCCTCAGTTTCTTCATCTGTAAAATAAGGTGAAAACAGAACCTATTTCATAGAATACTTTAATAACAATCAATAGTTTATATTAGTAATTAAACTAGTAAGGTTAATAGCATTGTTTAATAACAATATCTACTTTATAGAATAACTGAGGACTCAATGGGTAAATGAATGTACAGCACTCAGAATGGTGCCTCACAACAAATGCTCATGAGGTGTTAATACTAACCAAAAAAAATCATTATTGTTGATATAAAATAACAGGGAGCCAGTTGAATCATTACTTGCCTTTGGTGCGCATTATTTCCCAATGTAGACGGTTATGTAATTACATGGAGTTAATTCAATACTAATGCATATTTTCTTAGAGGGCTATAGGGTTAAGGACAAGAACTCTGGAGACAAGCACAGTTTAAATCTGAGTTTATTAGCATGTGACCCCCAACTACCTCAGTTTTGTCTTATGTAAATGGAGATATCAAAACTACCTATATCGTCATAATATTGGGAGGGCTAAATGAATTATTACAAGAAAACCACTTAGTAGGCAGGAGGTTAAGAGCAGGTGGCTAGATATCATTCTTTTTCTTGCTTATGCAATAATTAAACAGCAGGTCTTTTTTACTGGAGTAAAATGTATTTTGGAATTCAGTTTTCAAGAGGTTAAAAATTATTTTAGTGATCTACAAAAATAGGTGCTCTGTGCATGAAAACCACAAGTAAAATAACTTATGAAAAAAGTACACCACATTTTTACCTAAAGAATCTTACTAAGCAGTAGCCCAAGAAAACAAAAAGCAAGTTGATCAATTAGGTGGAAAACAGCACTGACAGAATTCACTATCAAACTCTGGAAGAATTGTAATGGCTAACCAAGCAATTTTAAATGAGGCCACTTTAGAGGCCAAAACTACCTCTCATAGAAGCATCATTCAAAGCACGCGCAAAGGTTTCTCAAATACAACTGTAAACATACAAAGGATAAATAACAGAGCCATTTTAAAGTTTATGGGGGGGAGGAAAACAACGGACTAGAAAATCGAAGAACACAAACCACACCTCCGAGGAAGCATCAGGTTACTGCCGGCTTTAAGGACGATGAACTTGATTCGCAAACTTACCTTTTCTAGCATCTTCCGCTCTCTCTCGAGCCCGGCAGCCTCGAGCTGCTCCTCCTCGTCTAGCATGGCCGGGGTAATCAGGGCAGGCTCCGGCTGTTCCACCCTACCCGGGGCTCGCGACCCTGCAAGAGGGGAGAAGCCTTCCAAACTGCAGTTTTGAAAAAGCTACCAATTCCTCAACTCCCACATAAAAACCTCTCTCCCTCCCAGCTGCATTCGAGGGAAAAGCTGACGACCCATGGAGACGCCAAGCATCACCTCGGAAGAGACCTAATCCCTAAGCCTTCACAATGTCAACAAGTTGCCTGGACCCTAGTTTACCAATCGAGACGCTCTGGAAGATACAGCTCTCGCGTGTAAAGCCTCCTACACCGTGCAAACACGTGTATCATTCCGGGTACCCTCCCGTCTCTCCACAGCTTCTTACTCCTCTTTTCCTCCTCAGTCTCTGCCCGGGGTCAGCTCTTCCCCCAAAGCCCGGCTGCCGCTTCCATGCTGCGGCCCCCTCCGGCCCCGACGCCGCCGCCCGTGCCCGGAGGAAGGTTTTTCTCACTCACCGTCGCTGCTCGCGGGCTGCTGCGCTGGCATGGCTGGTCACACGCTGAGAAACAGGGTCCCCTCCTCAAAGAACCTGAACGGCGCGCGCTGTCTCCTCACAGGCGCTGCTGGTCCCAGGCTTCCCGACAAATCCCGGCCAAAGAAAAAACGCGCGCTTCTCTTTCGCGGGGGAAACACCCTCATCTCGCGATACTTCGTGCTCTCCGCCCCCTGCCCCGGCGGCGCGAGATTTGGCGCAGGAAACGCACCTGGGCGGTGGGTAGTGTTTACCTGGCCTCTGCCGCGGGAGCCCGCGGTTCACGGGCTCTGTGGTGCTGGGTGGCTCTGCCTGCCACGGAGCCAGTTTTCTCGCGTACTGGGTGACCCGTTAGCAGCGCTCTGAACTGTTTGCAAGGCACCTTCCCACACTGGCGGTGATTAAATCCCGCCCACCGACGATCCTTTCGGTCCCAAAGGTGTGAGTCCCCCGGAGAGGGTGTCAGAAACAAACACTGCCACGCTCGCCCGCCGTCCGCAGTGAGCATTCCCCGAAATGGCCCAGAAATGGGTTGTGAGTGGGATGGGAGAGAAAAATAGTAAGTTAAGATTATGGTCGAGTTCAAGGAAGTTGTTTCGGGATAAGGGAGACCTGAACGCAGTGATAAGTCGAGCGCTGTGGCCAGTATAAAAGATGTAGTGATTCAGTAGACCAGTAATCGGAGTGGGCGCCTGCAGGGGCGCAGCCTGTCTCGTCCCGTTTTTCCAGCCGTCACGCCCCCTCCCCCCTTGTAGTCTGCATTCCCTTTCTACAAGTTCCCGTCTTTCCCCTCTACCTGCCTTCGAACTTACGGTATGCCTGCCATACCATTTCTGACTCCAACAGCTTTAATAATTGTATTTGCACAAAGTTCAAGGATTTACAATGCACAGCTATCATAGCCATCTTAAGCAACCTTCATAATACTCCGAGATTAGCAGAGATTATTTTTATTTCTACATTGTAGTGAAAAAAACTGATGCTCAAGAGAAAAATTGGCTTGCCCAGAAACCAGTCACGTTTTGATAAAACAGGAGTCGAACCCAGTCTTCTGACCCCTACTTCAGTATTTTTGAAAATGTTTTATTGAATTTATTGGGATGACACTGGTTAATAAAATTGTTTCAAGTGTACAGTTCTGTAATATGTCATTGTTCACCATCCAAAGTTATCTCTTTCCCCTAGTTTAGTATTAAGATAAAATGTAGCCTTAATAATTACTTAAATCCTACCTCTTTCTAATAAAAAACAATAGCTATCAGTCTCTGGGCAAGTGCCCTGACTGGGAATCGAATTCCCCACCCCCTTTTGGTGCATAGAGGGAGCTCCAAACAACTGAGCCATACCTGCCAGGGCTACATAAGATTTTTGACCTTCACCAAACTATCCTCCCAAAATCTCATCCTCCCTGACTTTTTAAACACTGCCTTTTATGTCTTCCTCTTCTAAAATCCCTTTCATATTAACGGCTTCATCATTCATCCCATTATAGAAGTGGGGAAAAAAATCCAAAAAAACCCTGAAAAAATGACTGCTCCTTCTTGCTTAAACTAGACGACCCTACATTCTGCCTACCTCACAAACTAAACAGTATTTAAAAGTCAGAACTCTCCTCTCGATTCCCAAAACCAAATTTACAAAGCTACCTGCAGCTAAACACCTTTTCCACTTTCCCTCCAGATATGCTCTGGATCCACCTCCCTGCGTCCTGTTCAGGATTCTTAGATTACATAATATCCCATTCTCTCTCTCTAAGCCTTTTCTGAATCCTTTCCATTCACATTTAAATACTCAAAACTCTCTCATCTTAAAAAAAGTTAAGAGGCAACCTCCTTTATTCCCACCATTTACTATCTGCTCGTTTCCCTTTTACAGCTAACTTTAGAATTATCAACATTAACAATCTTTAATTTTCCTGCCTCCCACTGATTCTTCAACCACTTGTCTGGCTACCCCACTCAACACACATCAAGGTCAATAAGGAAGTCAGTGATCTACATGACGCTAAGTTTAGTGGGCATCTCTTAGTCCTCATGTCAACCTCATTGCCACATAGCACTATCAACCACTCCTTTAGGGTTGATCCTTGTCCCTTGTTTCTTTCTGACCCTACATTCTCCTGACATTCCCATTTCATTCTCTTCTACCCAACCTTTAAATGTTCAAGTTGTTTCTAGCCAAGTGCATAATCTAATAGGAAGGAGAGTTCACTGAGGAATGGCCAAAATAAAAACAACCTATTCATCCATATCCATCATGGGTAGTGCCCAGCACTATTTTGGGCACTAGCAAGTCAGTGGTTAAAAATATATATATACTGTTTCTGACCTCAGAGTTTACACTGTAGTGGAAATAATAGACAAATACCTATAGAAAACAATGTCAGCTAGTGACTGTTACTGGACAGGGGACCTGGCCCTGTGTGGGTCTTCCTAGGGCCAGTAGGTAGTGAGTGGATTCTTCACTTCGTGTAGGAAAATTTTCAAAACACAAGTCCAGGTGATTATGAGGGTACATTTATTAAAACTGGGGACAGTAAAACAAGGGCAGGCTTAGCATAGAAAAAGCAACAGGAGAGCTCTTAGGCTGGGCTGCCTTAGCTCTCTGGGAAGTTGGAGAAAAGTGGGCCTTGGAGACAGGTTCAGGGGATTGGCCTGGAATGAGCTGCTGCTGCCCACTGTCCCCTGGCTGCAAGACTCATGGGGACTCTTAGAGTTTAGGAGATGCGTGCCTATGAGGGAAGAAGAAAGGGAAGAGGGGAAAGGGAATGGTGCAGGCTGCTCTCCAGAGGGAGAGCACATGCTGGGTCCTTTGTCTTGAGGCTTTTCTCTCTTTTGTAGGTGGGAATATTTAGGAGAGGTCTCAGGGAAGGGTTTCAGCAGGATATTCATCAGTTCTCCTGGTGTGTTCTTTCAGGGTCATGGTCTCTACTGATTGGTTGGCACCAGGGCCGGGGGTCATTAGTCACTGCAGCTGGGTGTGGCATTGCCCACCTGATTCTGCTGCTTTTCTGAGCATGGAGCTGAAATAGAACTGAGGCCTACATGTTTTCCCTAGGGAGGTGACCTTCTGTGTCTGGCTGTGAATTGCTCAGCCACTTTGTTCAGCTATTTGTCCCAGTTTCCCTGTTCCACTAGTCCTGGCTTACTGGCCTGTCTCAGCAGTGTAAGGAAATAGGAAGCAGAGTAAGGTCATGAGAATGATGGATGTATATTTACAGAAAACTTGACTCTGGCCCGGCCGGGCGTGGCTCAGCGGTTGAGCGTCGACCTAGGATCCAGGTGATCGGGGTTCGATTCCCGGTCAGGGCACATGCCCGGGTTGCGGGCTGCAGCCGATCAATGACTCTCTCATCATTGATGTTTCCAGCTCTCTCTCCCTCTCCTTTCCTCTCTGAAATCAATAAAGATATTAAAAAAAAACACACACAAACAAACAGAAAACTTGACTCTGAGGAAGTGACATTAAGCAGGGACCTGAACGAAAGAGAATCTATGCCATACAAAGACCTGAGCAAAGAACATTTCCAAGGAAATAGCAAGAGTAAAAGCCCTTAGGTAGTAGATAGGAGGTTAGCAGGTGGAGAAATGACAAGAAGTCAATTAGGCCTACATCTGAGTAGTTGGAATTGTAGAGACAGGCAGAGGCCAGAACAGACAGACCTTGCAGAGCAAAGAGTGGATTTTTGTTATGAGGAATGCCACTAGATCTTGAGCAAGTAAATTATAGGACTTTTGATCTTTTAAAAGATCATAAAACATGTCTAAAGTTTGATGAGTGGCTTTAAAAATTGAATCATAAGAAATATTACAACAAAGTAATGAGAAATTACCTTATTGCAGCACAATTTATTTAAAAATCACTTAGTATTAAGAGTAGAACAAACACTTTCAAACACTTTCCAGTTTACCTTCTCAAGTTAAAGTCTAAACACAGGATTAAAAGCCTTTTACAATCTACAAAGGTTTTAATCAAGTAAATACTTCCCTTTCAAAGTTTCTTAAGAATATAGATGCTAAAATTAAAAGCCGTGGGGGATTTAGGTGATAATCAAAATACATCATCTATTTACAATACTGATTATCAATACTGCCTAGACCAGAAAATTTAAAGTTTTACTTTCTTTTATAATACCATTGTGCGTAGTATTATGCCTAAAGATGAAAAATGAGAACAAACGTATATATACCACTGTTGTCAATTTTATATAAAGTCTATAGCACTCATATTATTACAAAAGTGATTTTCCAAGTACATTGCAATAGAACAAAAGTCATTTTACCTTAAATAAAATCATGAAAGTACTTTTTACTTAAATGTTCACCAAATGAAACACTTTTGCAATGCAATTTCTAAAAAAGGCAAATTTCCTTCCTGGTGTTTATTAGGAAATAAACCCAACCCACATAGTAAAACCTCATTAATTGGAACCAATGGAAGATCAATATGAATTGCATAATGTTTAGAAAGAGATGCAATTTTGCTGACTTCCCAAGCCTGGTAACTTTATTTAGCCTTTTAAAATATTAAAGTCAGTGCTTGTCACATAATCAGAGCTTAACAAATGTTCCTGCATTCATCAAAGTGCCAAGTAATTAACTTCCATTGCAATTACACTGTTAGTAAGCAAACAATATTAAAGGCTTGGGCTTTTGCCCTGCCAGGTGGCTTAGTTGGTTGGCATGTCATCCTGTACACCAAAAAGGTGGCAGGTTCAATTCCTGGTCAGGATACATACTTGGGTTGCGGGTTTGATCCCCAGTCAGAATGCTCACAGAGGCAGCTGATGGATATTTCTCTCTCACATCAATGTTTTTCTCTCCTCTCTCTCTAAAAGTCAATGGGCATATATCCTTGGGTGAGGATTTAAAAAAAA